CTCTCGTTATCCGTGATGGTGGTGGTTGTTTGTATTAAACGTGTATTGTTATCCCCAAGGTGAGTCTGTCTTTGCCCGTGACCATAACTGGTGAGTGAGCCCTCCCTGTCTTTTGCCGCGACCCTCGGGCCTTTTTGGTTGTATTTTCTCCTCCCCATCCCTCAGTGGACGGGGTGGGGGTGAGGGAGGAGCTGCGTGGTGCTTTTGGAGCCAGCTGGGTAGGCTCAAACCACGACAAATCCTGAGATCGAAACAAGCCAGTATTCGCACAGCTTTTTGATTTCCTGGGTCAAACTTTAAATATAAAAGCGGTAGCTTTGTCCACAGTTTCAGAGATTGGACTTTGCTGCTGCAGTCAGGATTATAATAAAGAAAGGAAAACAGACCCAAATGCTCTATGCAAACTAAGATGGTTTACAGTTGGACTCGATGATCATAAAGGTCTTTTCCAACCTTTATGATTCGACGACTAGTTGGGGTGGGGTTTTTTTCCCCTTGATTTTAAAATATCAAATGCTTCCCACTCCAGTCCTGTTTTTTTCCATTAGCTGTTGAAATTTGAGTGGTAATCTAAACTTGGCAGAATTAAATTTCCTCTGCCAGGCGCTAGATGATGTCCCAGCTTTTGACCTGTGCAATACTGGAAAAGGCCACACGGGGGACATTGCAACCAGGTGGTTGAGATGCTTCCTCAGAAAGCTGTGTGCTACTGATGGCTGACATTGGGTTTGAAGGAGTATAGGCAAAAGTCCATATGTAACTCTAGCTAACCCATTAGACTTTGATTTTGTTATAAGAGGGCTTAATTAAGTTCCCTGTAGTAATTGCAGAACACTCATGAAAAGCTTGAGAATGACCCCATATAGTCATTAGAAGCCACAAAATACTTCTGCGAGTCAAAAAACTGTACCCAGGGAAGGGAAAGCTCTTAATCTACAAGTAATTTCTAAACGACTTCACATGAATGTGGGAAAACACTCATTTAACCTTGGCGATCTCTGAGAAAAGTCATGGGTCTCTGCAGTTTCTCTCAGACTAAGAAAACAGATGCTGCAGCTGATGGGAGGGTCTCTGCTAGAAGATGACGGGCTGTTGGAAAAGATGGCGAACAGAACACTGTGCACACACCAGCACCGCAAGGAAGGAGGCTAGCTGCCACGTATTTCTAGCACCAGCTGATCTTTTTTTTTTGTTGTTGGAAGAACAGATACAGCCTTAGGCTAGTGAGATATGTTTTATGTGTGACTCCTAATCATGATTCTGTTTAAATTGACTTTATTTTAAAATTTTTCAAATTTAAAAATTTTATTTCAAATTGATAGGATAAATCAAGACTTAAAACAAAATGGGGGTTTATTAGACTCTGCAAACCAGCATAACCAGTTTCCTCCTGCAGGTAAACACCAACTGATCCATCCTCTTCCATGGCTTTAACGGTGCCTGAACATCTCTGGCCCTCAATGGTAGTGAACAAACGTACTCAATTTCTTTCATCTGGTCTGAAAGTAATCCTGGGCTGGTTTACCTTTGTCAGCCAGCCAGCCTGGTTTCCCCCCTTTTCAGGATGTGTGACACGGGCTGTGGCACCATGTTACAAATTCTCCTGTGGTTTAAGAGGTCCCCTTTTCCAGTTTCACCCCTTTCCTCACATTCCCCTGCACTTACCACAGCTGAATGCCCTTTTTGTTGGTGTAACTGCCCTGTTGTAAATAGTTCCCTGTTGAACAACATGGGGTGAAGAATGGATGCTAATGTGCTGTTGTTCAGAGGTAGAAAGGATTGGTTGCGGTCTGGTCCGGTAAGGACAGACAGTTTTTAAACTGCCTTGCTGGCAGAGCGGTTGCACCATAGAGTTCCACCTTCAGAAACACTAACATATGAAACAAAAAGATGCCTCATGTTTTCCCTTTTAATCCCATTTTATGCCTGCTAAATCCATAATAAATCACCTAAAAAACAGGTGATCACCTTGGATGCCTTTTGCCTTGGTGCCTGCAATCAAACCAGCCCCCAAACAATTGCCATGCCAGTTTTCTGCTCTGTCTTTGCTCTGGTTCCCCCCTTTTATCTGTGACTGGTCTTTTAGCATGACATTTCCCTTTTGATTCTGCCCATGCAAGCCTCACAGCAGCCAGTCCCCAGGCAAACAGCAGCATTCCTGTGCTCCCAGCTATTCCTGTGCTTGCTGCAAGACCACTCTCCTAAGAGACAGGCTGCATTTCTAAAGAGTTAATGTGTCAGTATTCCTCATAATTTTCTCATTATCTTCCTGAGAAACTTTTTTCTTGATGGCAGATGAAATCATGGATTTGTGCATATTCTTTTTTTCTGCAGTCTTAAAGTAAATACTGTAGGAGCTCAGGTGTTTTGCTGAACCATCATTACTGTGGCATTTCTTCTTTGGCTGACAACTCAACATAACTGAGTGGAACTTAGGCAGAAGTCATCACTATTGCATGAAATGGTGGTGAGACACTGGCACAGGTTGCCCAGAGAGGTGGTAGATGCTCCATCCCTGGAAACATTCAAGGTCAGGCAGGATGGGGCTCTGAGCAACCTGATCTAGTGGAAGGTGTCCCTGCTCGTTGCAGGGGGGTTGGACTAGATGACCTTTACAGTTCCCTTCCAACCCAAACCATTCTATGAGTCTATAAATCCTTTCTGTACTTGTGCCTTTGGGTGGAGCAAAGTCTTCATCTCACAATATCCCCATCATTCCTTGCCCACAGCAGCAACTGCTCAGGCACCCTATAGGAGGAGCATGTCATATACCTCAGCAAGTGATTTTAATTGACTAAGCAGATTTTTTGTTTCTGAATAAATCTCTAGATTGTTAATTATACCTTCCATCTTTCAAATATGCTTCAAAATTACTGTCTTTTGGTAGTGGTCAGTATTTAGCATGTGTCTCGGGTGTGTTATTTGACCACTATATAATGTGTCAGCAGGACCTGGCTAACTGGAATTTAAGCACTTTTTTTTTGTGGATTTTGATGTAGTATCATTAAATACTATGGAATTAGCATCTTCATGCACAGAGTCCAGCTCTGGACTTAGGAGCTTAGGTTCAGGCAGCTCTTTATTCTTCCCTCAACATTTTGCAGTGGAACACCTTCCTTCCTTTTTTCTTTCAGTCTCTGCCTCTTAAGACTGCAGAGGTCTTTGTCATCTTGGTGAGTTTTCTAGGCAAGCCATGAACTGAAACACATGGTCCATCGCATATGCTCCGTCTGACATGTTTTCACTTGAGTCGCTCCTTCACCTGAGGTACGTGTGCTGCAATACTGTACTCCAAACCGAGAGACAGATGCTTTAATCTGGACTGCATGGCAAACTGTCTCAAACAGAAACTAACATTCGTATTTAGAAACCAGGCAAAGTCTTGCTGAAGAAGGAAGGAAAGTCATTTCAGTTTCTGCTTTAGGCTGAGGCCTTACCTTTGTTTTGGCTCTTACTGTGCTTCATTTTTAATTAAACTTGTGGATAGGTCATGTTATTGAAAAAACAGTATCAAATTAAGTTTCCTATGTGTGTAAGAAACTTATCCTAAACCGTGGTTTTCCCTGGAAAATTAACAGCACAGCAATCCCTCTCATCTCTCTTTCTCTTATCCATGTCCCTGGGATCCCCCATCCTGCTGCAGCTCTGGCTGCTCTCCCCCGCTGTCTGCTCAGCCAAGCCTGTGTGAGAGAAGGAACTTGCTCCTCATGCTTCAGATGGTCTTCCTTGCCAGGGAGACCTGGATTCTGCCATCTCTGTCTTCTGCCTCCTCTGCAGCTGGGACAGGAGGATACAGGGGACAGACATCCAGACACGGGACCTTCATTTCTCTCATTATTACCCCACTTCTAGGTGCTGGAGGATATACCAGTTTTCTGGTTTTAACCCACTACTCTGAACATGAAGAGAAGATGCTTTTCCCATAGAAGGCAAGAGAAAACACAGGAGGAAATCAGCCTTGACTCCCCATCCCTTCCCTTGTACTGTCTGTTGGAGCATGCCACTGGGGAAGGACGAAAGGAAATAGTAGTGAGCATTCCAGCAGCAAAAGGCTCAGGGAAGAAGACAACGAAAACCAAAATCTCTCCATGTTTTATCAAAGCACTTGTGACAAGAAAACAAACTTCCAGGTCAGGGCAACAGCACACGAGACACAGCCAAGCTGCCACAACTCAGTAAGGACTTTTGTTTGTTTACCCAATGTGCAAGTGTGCACTAGATGGAGGAAGGGAGCAGGAAAAGGAAAAGGGATTGAAGCAGTCGGGGTTACCCTGAGCCCCATGGTACAAACACGAAAACGCCACTGTTTTGCAGAGCAGAGAAGGTGCCACTTGTTTTTTGTGCCACAATACTTAGAGCACTTCAAAGCAAGCCACGTGTTGCTTTAAAATGCCAGCAGATCATCTCTAGACCATTTTCTAAACACATTTCGCACATTTCTAGATAACTGCTCATGGTTGGTGTCCAAACTACTGAGACAGCAAACTTTGGTCTCTGCAGGACTTGACATTTATGTGCACATAATGTGTGTGGCAAACTACAGGCAAGGTAAGCAAGCTACAAGGAATGCTCACTGCTATACGTACCAGCAGACTTGTTTAAGCTCCATGCATTCAGCTTGCCTTCATTCACTGAGAAAAGTGCAGCTAAACCAGGCATGATGCTATTTTGTTTCTGTGGCACTGACTTGTGAAGATCCCTAGGCCTTGTTTCTTGCGTAAGGAGTAAGACAGGTGGCTGTAGAGAAGTTTAAATAATTGCTGCTGGGCATTTAAAGCCATCATTCATGATTGAGGTTTCCCATTTGGAACCAGTGACAATTAAACTTGTCTAAGCCTCTCCTCTGCTTCCCTCAAAAATTTTCTGCCTGTCATACTGACACAGCTGTTTGTGTGTCTGTACAGTGGATTGGATCAGGAACTGATGTGGCTAAAAATAACTGAGGGTAGAGTGGGGAACTGTTACTTTTCAGTCACTGAAACTTTCCAATCTGCGCCACAATGCAGTTGCACACACAGCTGCGCTGGCACAGTGAGCAGAGCATGGGAGTAAATGACCACAAGGACATGCAGAAGAGGGGATGAGGAACACTCATTTTGCTTTTGAAAGAAATGCGGGTGGAGCCACAGCTTCAGTGGGCTGAGCAGGGTAGGACACACCTGGCAGCTCCACTCCTCAAAGGTACTGAGCAAGAGAAGAGCACCAATTCCAGCTGTGTAATGTATATTTGGAAAAGAAAAGATTCATAACCTGGTCCTCCTCTGGAAATACTCCTTGTGTGCAAAAAAAAAAAAAGGTACATCTCTGTTTAATGTCTTTGTTCTGCTTTCCCTTAACTCATTGCTGCTCCCCCAGGGCTATTGTTTCATGGTGTGGATTGCGTGGTGGCAATACCAGCTTAAGGAACTGCTGAGCTTTTTTGGTATTTGTTACCACCTGCCCCAGACTGCAGTTTTCCCTCACTTGTGCCAACCCTGCTGTTTGTGGAGCTGTGCTGAGGGCTGGATCAGGGAAGCAATCCAAGTCAAAAATAACCCAGCGGGTGGCTGGAGATGGCAAGAGCCTCAGCCATCCGATGTAATCTGCTGTCACAAGTCAGCGAGAGCTGCTCGCAATTGCAGGAAGTCATGAAAGCCCAGCCTTGGAGATACCTATTTGCTACAAGAAATACGAAATTGTCAGCCAGTTTAAGGAGCCTTGTGAATGAGGAGGCAGGAATCCTTCACCAGTGTTCATAAAGGACAAGACAGCAAACCTGACCGTGCACAGATGCCAGCATAAAACAGCTTCACATAAGCTTTACTTGAGCTGTCCTTCACATGACAGTTTTGCAATGAAAGCTCATGGCAGTATATGCTATTCAGCTGGTGTATGTTGTTTATTCTGTAGATTAGGGAGAAAGTTACCATAATTTTTAAGTTCTGGAATGGTACTGAGGTTAAGGGAGCTGTGCTAGCACCAAGCAAGAGAATAGAAGAGCATTTTTCACAGACATGAATTTAATAGCTTTGTGTTACGGAGCTACCAATTTGCAGATGTGTTCCAGAAGGACACCTCTTCCTCTCAGCTCCAGAAAAACAGTGCCACTGCTGTGATACACCAGCACTAACCTACATGATCACAGAAGCAGTGACGTGATCTTCCTCTACTCATAGGCTTGAAATGAAGCATCTGTAATTATTCATGCTGTCTTGTATTCCAAGCCTTATCTGGGTTTCTTCTGACTTCTCTCTTCAGTTCATGGCTCATGCCTCCTGGGATGAGTGTTTTTAAATACCAGTCATTTCCTTTGTCTCCCCCTCCTACTGGTGACTTGGCATTTCTCTGCTTCTCTTTGGGAGCTAGCTGGCTGGAGTACTGATGGCAATGAAGGTGAAGCATCAAGAGCTTCCGAGCCTCAGGAATTTCAGGATCTTCTCAGGTTACATTTCTTGAGAAAGCAATTCACCCTTTCTTCACATGCTTTAGTGGCTCGGTACACACTGAGGTGGAAGAGGCAGTTGAAACTCTCAGATACATTAACAGCTACATCACACTATTAGCCAAATGAAAGCAAGTGCCTGAGGCTTAAGGCAGGACATGGCTGCCCTAAGGCAAACTGAATGCTTTCACACCAACCTCTGTGCTCAGAATAGGCCTGAGACATAACATCACTGTCGACTGTGCCAGATAACCAGGGAACTCCTTAGATTTCAAGGGTCCAGAAGAAGTACCATCATAGTTTGCCAAACTCTTTCACCTTTCTAAGAAAGTAAGAACTTGTGTTCAATGATTTTAATTCTTCTCTCTCCAGAAACAAGGAAAAACGTTCCACCTCCCTGCCCCCTGCATTTCCATTGCTGCTTCCCTTTTTGTGATAATTCTTAAAACTTTTTTTTTTTTTTTTAAATAAAGCAGCTTGTGGTTCCTGTTTGGCCCTAGGTTCATAAAAAGGTTTGATCGTATGTCCAATGAATTGGGAAGATATCTGCAATCTCCCTAATGCATACTATATGTAAACTCTGTTTTTCCTGTTTTGCTTGGTATTTCTGCCTTCCTGAAGGCATAGAGAGAATTCAAAGGTCAGCTGTTAAAGAAATCAAGCAAGAAAAGAAAGCAGTTGCGCAGCAAAGAGGCATCTTCTTAAGCACAACAGCCAGGTGCAGAGCTCTGGGAAGCAACTTCTCAGTCCCTATCTTAGAAAAGGAGATCTGCTAAAGCTTTGAAAAGGCAGATCAAATGACAAAAGCTCTGCCTTCCGTAAAGAGATGCACATTATGTGTGCTTTCGAGTGATTTGGGGTATGCAAGCAGACACTGACCTTTTGTGAGGAAAAACATGGACAGAATAGGGACCGATGAAGAAAAGCCTCTTTGGTTCTGTGCTTAAAGATGGGAAAGTGCACCCACCTGAACCCCATAGCAAGGTAGAGTCCAGCAGTATTTTGGTGAAGGTCAGCTTGAGGTAGAGACGTAGCAGGCAATGGCCCAAAGCAACACATGACCAGCAGCGGGAGAATCGCAAGAGCTCTGGAAAGCAAAAAAAAAAAAAAAAGTAGTCCAGATATGAGGGAGCAATTACTTGGGGGGTCTGGAGAATGGTGACCCTTCTCCCATGCAGCTGTTACCACTTCCTAATCACCTCATTTTCCCAGCAGCCTCAGGAAATCCAGTTCCCGAGTCTTTCTTCCTAGCTGTTCATCCCTTTTCAACCTCTGCTGCTTACCATTTCCCCCACATGGCAGCCTGGTTCAACCGTTCACCTTTGAGACGGCAAAATGCCTTGTAATGCCTTTACTCTGGCTGTGTTGCCCTTCTTAGTAATGCCATGCCATTACTCTTACCCATGCCCAGGGCAGGGAGATAGGCTTGTGCAGGTGAGTTGTACTCACACTATTACCAGAGAGACCTTTCCCAGGAAGCTTTCCCAGGGGTCAGACCAGCTGCCTTTCCAAGCAGAAAAAGCTTACTTAGTCTGGCCTCCTGAGGCCTGTTGTGAGTTCTGGGAGTAGCTTTGCTCTTTAGCAGGAAGGTTACCTCTGTCAATTCCTTGAGGCTGTGCAGCCAAGGTTTGCTGTGGTGTGGTAGAGTAATTTGCGACTGCCGGTCCATATGGCTGTTCAGACAAGTCTCTTCCAAGTAGCACCAACCTTTACATCCAACGGAGCTGTGCTTTGCCCAGAGAGTGCCAAAGGGAGGGTAACAGAAGAGTTCACACATCTTTGCACTCTCTGCACCTGTGAGGATGTTTGGACCTGGTATGGCCTGCTTTAATCAATGGGTGCTTTCACTTACCCTTAAAGGCTTACTGTGCTCTGACCATGCTGTCCCACCCGTCCCAGTGTGCACCCCGGCTATCTGCAGCTACAGATACCTCCATAGCAAGCCTCAAGAACAAACCGGAAAATTCTGTTTCCCCTAAGAGGTCTAGCCCCTATGCTCTGGTTCCTAGGCGCTCACATCTGTTCGTGAGTGTCCCAGACAGGCCAGGCCTCCGAGAAGAAAACCAATCGGTTGTCAAAGTCCATCAGGACTGCAAAAGCAGTGTTATCAGGTGGATTCATGCATTTTCTACTAAGAAAGCAAACAAGCACTTGAATGAGAAAAGGGACAGTTGAGAGGTGGATCAGCTGACTTACGTATCAGGTTTGGCGCGGAAAGGCTAAAGACCCTTCAGAGCTTGGGAGGCAAGAGCAAAGCAGACTGCCCCAGCAATGCCTCTTTTGGGCTCTGTTTGCTCCATCTCCTTGAAATATCCTGTATTTTCCTTTTTTTCAGAGATGGGGGTTCCTGCTGTTGTGTCTCTTGGCTATTCAGACCAGTGTTGTTCGCATGAAGGGGAAACAGGGCCACGAAGAACAGTTTGCTGTGCATGCAAGGGCAGTTTTGTTTGATGTATCTCAGAAACTGCCTTAGAGATTACACATAAAATATGTTTTTAAATTTATTAAACATGCAAAACACACCTCTTGTGCAAGATCAAAAGAAATCTGTTTTCTCTGTCACAAACAATGAAGCAATGAGGAATGTAAAAGAAATTTTGTATCAGTCATCACTATTACATATACTTTGTCAGCAGGGGACTAGAAAACTGAATCCCATACAACCCAGGTGACAAAACTGGGAAGATAATCTCCTCAGAGCAGCTGCAGCTCTCCTAGAACCAGGTTCATCTACCAGCAGGATGGTGTGCCATGGCAGAATAATGTTCTGCCACTTTCTCTCGTAAAGGAATGGTGAGCACTGTGTGCCATCCTCTGGCTTTTCAGATTCATGCAGAAATGTTAGATGAAAATGAAGACCAATTCTAAGAATACCCCTCACCTCTGGATTCTTATTTGCATTGCACAGCAGCTGTGCTAAGTAACAGCCATCCCTCTGTGAAGGATGACACATGTATTTCCAAATCTGGTCCTGCCAGGGGCCAAGAAACTGTGATGCTCAGGTCACTCTGGGGAGAAAGAAAGAAAAAAAAGATGGTATAACAAAGAACACTAGGGTGAAAAATTTTATTTCAGAGATGTCATTCATCCATTTGTCTATCTTAGGTATTTATAAAGTGCCACAGTATCACTGTAGTATCTAAGCACCATTAGCACAACAGGAATTTACAGTATTCTACAGAGCTCCCTCCCTCAGCTGGCAGGAGGATCTGGGCACCAGCTGTTGACCATGGGTACTGGAATAGAACATGCTAGGGATGGTCTGCTGGAATGATAGTAGCTAATTACCTTTCGCTTTTTCCAGTAGTCTCCCACTATGATCCTAAGGGAAGAGATGGCTGGTAGAGAAGTCAGCGAGCTAGCTAGCTGCTGTGAAAGTAAACCTTCTGGTTCTTGACTTTTTGCACATGCCCACATATCTGTCTTCTGAATTTGGCTCATGAGTTTGTGCTGCCCACAAAGTAAATAAATCCCTGGAAGAAGAGGAACATACCCTGTAACTTCTGCAACAGCAAAGGAAGGGTGGTACCCAGATTCTCCTCTCCAGCTAGATGATCACAAACAGTAAAGGGCAGACAGGCTAGGGGAAGTGAATTATTTCAGCCAAGTGACACTGAACAGGGAAAACGAACAGTGGCTGTGGAAAGGAACTCCAGAAATGTGCTTACACTGGTGAGCAATCCAATCCTGGCTGCTAAGACTACTGCACCAGCAATGTGCTCTGAATCCTAAGCCCACTTTGATTTGGAATACAGTTTTAAATAAGTTCATAAAGATCTTAGAAATAAATGCACATCAATCCTTTTAATTTATAGAGCACTCTTAAGTATACACAGCACTTCACAAAGCACGTAGAAAGGAAAAGAAATGCTCTGAGGACTGCTACAAAGGCATATTCAGGGGCAGCGGGCTTCTCAATCCAGAGTCTCCATGTGAGAGTCTCCCTTGAGTTGAGCTCAGCTGTGTGCAGACCCGGGTTCACTTTCATTGATCTGCTACAGCCACTCTGTTCAGACTGCCAGAAGAAAAGCTGCATTCACAAGATGCCTTTCCCTGGCAAACAGGGCTTCTCAGCCAAACAGTTTTAGTGCTGTAGATTTTCTTCAGGAAACTTAAACTGGAATGAAAGAGACCCACACAAATTGATCAGTTCTACAGCTGGACTGCAGCATAACCTTTGAATTCAGTTAAAAATGAGCCTACCAACTGAGAGTGGTAGTATCCCTTCTGAAAGTCTGCTAGCAAATGAAAATCTTGATGCTTCTGGAACCAATTAGATGATCATTAATCACATTTCCAAACCACTTTCCAGAAGTGGAACAGAAATCAAGTCATTGGTTTGAAGCTGTTCATAAAAAACCAAACAAACACAAAGCTAAAAGCAAAAATGTGCATTTGCAAATGAAGGCTTTGGTTCCTGTGTAAACAAAGCCCACCCCATTTCTGAAAGCTCTTTCTACTTCCCTGAGCAGCTGCACATAAAGGTGCCTTGTTCTTCTAGGAGATGCAAACAGTTTCATGCTCCCCCTACAGCTCCTTTTTATTAAATTATATGAAAATAACATTTTATCAGCAGTTGAGTGTCAAGAAGTGGCTTGGAGCTTGCAGAAAGGATCCCTGCAATCCCACGGAGAGTAGCAAGTTCTGTAGAGCAAGCCATTCACAAGCATCCCTGGCCAGCAGCTGCTCCAATCCATGGATCTTCTTAGCATCTTTATTTCCTCCACCTCTTCCCCACCACAGCTCCACTCCTTTCACTGGTTCCAGTCTACGCTCCTTTTCCCAGAGACCTACTGAAGCCATGAAGCCAGCTGCAGGATCAGTAAGGTACACTGCAAAACCAGAAGTCTTATCTAAGCTCCAGCAGTGCTGGCTAAGCACACCAGTCAGTATCATCACCAAAGTGATCAGCAGCAAAACAGTCAAAAATATAAACAATATAAAGTGTTGCACTGCAATTCCTTGTAGTTAAAACCATGAGGGGGCTACATCCTACAACCACCACTGATACGTACCTGTGTGAAACGAGGGGGGGAGCACTACGCCAAGTGACATTTAGAAGTCATTCCTTGCAACCACAGGGGCCACACATTTTTTTACAGACATAAATAAAACAACTCAATTCCAGATCTCAAACACACACACAAAGTAGTCAGTGTAAAGCTCAGTGTCCTGATGAGAAAATTCAGATGTTTTGGTACAAAACCTATTTCTCCCAGCTTCTTATTGAGAAATGCTAGTATATGCAGTATGTTAACATTCTGAGAAGTGCTGATATGGTGTAGTGTCACACAGCTGGCCATTTTAACCACTGCCATGGTGCGTGCATGCGCGATTGCTCACATGTGAGTGTGAAGATATGCTCAGTATAAAAGTTAGTTCACACAAATGTGAACACATATACATAGATGTTATTTAAACACATGCGCGCACACACACTGGTCAAGATGGGACTTGAGAAATACTGGTATGGAATCAGGTCAGTCCCAGTATGCTGTTGTTCTGTCCTATTTTGCAACACAGCTTACACCAGCCCGTACACTTGAACTGTATCTGTGAATCCAAATTCTGCAGAGCGAGGAGGCTACCAGTATAAACTCGCAGGCGACCTCCATACACCTGTCAAGTTGCGTATCTCAGTCTTAGCAGCAGCAAAATAGAATTCTGATTATTTTTTTTTAAGCCTCCAGCTATGATAGTTTCCTACATCAGTTACCTACCAGTTCTGAGATTCCGGAACAGGCCATGCCCCTATCCTGCAGCTCCCTCATTCCTTCCACCCAAGCAGCATTCGCAGAAAACCTTTGCTGGCATGCCTTCCCTCTCTGGTTCAGGCCTACGTGTTCCTTTTACAAGCAGACCCAAGTGGTCTCTGCCTGTGCTTCAAGTCGGCCCACACGCTGCATATGCGTAACGCAGAGTCTCCAGATTCTCAGCAGGACTTAGCTTTGACCGTCCTCACTGATGTAAGAGACATAGAGCTGGCTTAGACCACAAGCATGGTGAGCTTTCATAGACCTGTGCAATATTGTACCGGTCACAACACTCCAGCTGCGAGTGGAACAAAGGACCCCATCTCCTGACACAACCACACATGCGTATGTTGCATGACAAAGCAGCTTCTCATCATGCAACCTGACATTGTGCGCTCTCTCCTCAGGCTCCTACGCAGACACCTCTTATGGGGAGGTGGGAGAAAACATCTGCACCTTGGCCATGGGGCAAATGGCATATGACTTTAGTACTGGGCAAAGAGGATGACAGGGCCTTGGGATACAGGCTGCCAGAACTACCTGCCACAACCACTGCTCACTTTCTGTCCGTGCCCGAGGTGCGTCGACAGGAGGAGACTGAAAAAGACAACATGGGCCACTGGAACTACTCTGGCCAGCTGCCTATAACCCAGGGGCCCTGGCGTAGTGACACCCTTGTCCACCCCCTCGTCCCTTGGGCACATTTTGGACAGTCCTGGACTAGGAACTGCATCCTAGATCACCCCCAGGCCACACCTAGTGACACTGCCTACCACACATGCACCCGCTGGTGTGAGACTAAGTAGGAGTTACGACTGAAGCTCTTCCCACAGTGCGAGCACTTGAAAGGTTTCTCCCCAGTGTGGGTACGACGATGACGGATGAGGGTTGAGTTGTCACTGAAGCAGGTGCCACACTCGGCACACTTGTAGGGCTTCTCCCCAGTGTGGGTGCGACGGTGCTGGACAAGGTGTGAGCGCTGGCTGAAACTCTTCCCACAGTCAGGGCACAAGTATGGCTTCTCACCTGTGTGGACACGCCGGTGGATGACCAACTTAGAGCTCTCACTGAAGCACTTGTTGCAGTCGGCACACTTGTAGGGCTTCTCGCCCGTGTGGAGCCGCTGGTGGGCAATGAGGTTGGAGCTGTCGCTGAAGCGCTTCCCACACTGGGGGCACTTGTATGGTTTCTCACCCGTGTGAAAGTTGGCGTGGCGGAGCAGGCCTGAGTTCTGGTAGAAGTTCCTCCCACACTTGGCACAGACATAAGGCCTCTCGCCAGTGTGGTTGCGCTGGTGCTGCACCAGGTGCGTGCTCTGGCTGAAACTCTTGCCACAGTCCTTGCATTGGTATGGAAGCGCTTCCCACACTGGGGGCACTTGTATGGTTTCTCACCCGTGTGAAAGTTGGCGTGGCGGAGCAGGCCTGAGTTCTGGTAGAAGTTCCTCCCACACTTGGCACAGACATAAGGCCTCTCGCCAGTGTGGTTGCGCTGGTGCTGCACCAGGTGCGTGCTCTGGCTGAAACTCTTGCCGCAGTCCTTGCATTGGTATGGCCGCTCACCCGTGTGGATGCGCTGGTGCTGGATGAGGTGGGAGCGGCGGCTGAAGCTCTTGCCACAGTCAGCACACATGTATGGCTTCTCCCCTGTGTGGATCCTCTGGTGACGGATCAGGTCAGAGCTGCGGTTGAAGCTCTGCCCGCACTCGATGCAGATGTAGGGCTTCTCTCCCATGAATGCTCGCTGGTGCACCACAGTCTCCTTACGCTTCCGGAAGCCGCAGCGAGAAGTCTCCTTGGGCCCTGTCTCTGTGGAGAGAAGGTCTGGCCTCGTACAGGACACCTCCTGGTCACAGCCCGAAGGAGAAGCTTCCCTCACGAAAAAGTCCGAAATGGTCCCACAGGGCTCGGCTGCCTGTGGCCCATCTCGC